GGGAGGGAAACTCCCTCTACAAGAGGGTGGGGCAAACTCTCACTGCCTTTTTTCTTTCTCTGCCCTCCCACTGCTTGGCCTGGGAGGCAGACATCACTGCAGGAAGTGCCTGGCAGAGCAGGGCAACAAAGCCCCTGTCTTCTGGCCAGAGGACCAGAAAAGGGAGGCCCTGGGCTGGGAAAGCACCAGGGAGACTGCAGACACCTGAGAACCTTTAGGAACTGTTGGGCGCACCCCTGGGCTGGCAGGCGTGCCCTGACCCCAAACAGCCCATCACAGACTTTGAGAACTGAGCTACAGGACGGCCACTAGATGGCACAGTGCAAGACAGATCCAGACAGCCCTGCAAAGGCTCTGAAAACCAGAGGGACCTTGATTGAATCCACTGCCCATAGGAAGCTGGCTGGAACTTGCAGCCTGAACACAGCTGGTCAGCTGCATTCCCCACAGGATTTAAGCAAGACCCAGAGTCCCATAATATAATATAATATTCAAAATACCCAGGATACGCCACACAGTTACTGGGCATATGAGGAATCAGGAAAATCTCCTGGGTGGAACAATGACTACTTACTTTGAATAATGATTATCCCAATTTGGGGACCCCTACACCTCAAACCAATCTCAAATCAATTTCAAACCAACTCAACACCCAGGGGTACTTATTTTTTTAAGCCTAAAAAGCTGATCTTCTTCTGTATGTTGTAACTTTGAAGAAGGCCTTAAACAAGAACACAAAAAAGGAAAAGTCAAAAAAGGAAAATATCAACAAACGGAACTAAACTATAATATAAAGCTTATGAACAATGTCTATAAAGGTTAAAGAGCAAGAACAGCGGTCTCTCTCGAGTGAACGTTTGTGGCACAGAACACAGACGCACGCTAAGAATTCTCTTAAAAGTCAGTAAGATGTGGACAACCCAATAAAATAGGATTTTTAACGTGAAAAAGTACATCTTAGTGTGTTTTAATTAGAGTATTTTAAAGAGGGAATAATATTGGGAAAAGGAATTTAACATCGCAGTTTCTCAAATATTAACTGCATCTTTAATAGCCAAAAAGAACGAACCAATAATTCAGAACTTTGAATTCAGTAGCAAAGGAATTAAAAACAGAAAGATATTAGTCCCCTCACAATGAAAAATCTTCCTTTAATTGCAATCAAATGCTGCTGAGAACTGTATAAGGCCCCCTGACCATAAATATATACAAGTTGTATATAAACAACCTGGCTCCTTAGCCTGCCCTTCGAGATTCCAAAATTTTATCTTTTTAGACTTAAGTACTTCCTTACACATCTTAAACTTCTACACACACCACACACCACACACACACACACACACACACACACACAATGAATGATATGATCCTATCTCACTTCAAGTCATAAAATTTTTTGCTGCTCAGCTAAGAAGATAAAGTCTAGAAAACCATGACAAAGACCAAAGAGAAATTAACCTAACTGCTTGATAGTTTAAGCTTTATGTCTTCCACACAAAATAGCCTAATGAGGTTGCAATTCATTAGAAATAATTCATTTACTCAACTTACTAAAATGTGTGACGAATAAAATCCAACATTAATCTGGTTATACTCCCAACAAACAGGAAGGATTAATGCAAAGGTACTTCCTTACCTTGATCTACAAATATTTCTGTTCTCTGTCTACATGGTAGTAGGGGAACTACTGTAATCAGAGAATGCCATTTGGGCTCTATTTCAATCTAACAATCTCCGGAGATAGGACAGAAAAAATAAAATGTATAATAATACAAATAGCACACACTAAGTACTAGGAAAATTGGCTTACCCAAGGAAGATCAAAGGAAAATGCACTGAATGTGAGCCAAGGTGTAAGAAAAGTTCTGTGAAGGTCAGACTTGAATCTCAATAGCCGGCTAGGTGCTAATAGGTCAAGCTGAGGAGGGAGCTGGCCGCATGAAGCAGCGCTTTGTGTGGCTTCCTCGTTGGTCTTTAAACCTCTGCTCAAAGGACAACTCCTACCCAGAAAGGCCTTCCCTGACCTCCACAGTGAACTGGGGAGACCTCTAGTGTATCATGACCACTGCACTGGGTGATTTGGGTCCTCGGGTTCATCTTTCCGCTAGAAGACGGGCTCCGTGAGGGCAGAGAATAGGTCTGTCTGGTCCACCGCTGCATCCCCAGTCCCTAACCTGCATCTAGGACATGGCACAGTCAAAACTATCTGCTGAGCTAATGAGAGCTGCAAATAAGTGAAGGACAGACAGAACCTAGTCGTAAAGGACTATTAGTTTAACAGTAAAGAGAAATAAAACCGGAGTTCAAAGGAACAGGGCGTGGGGGCCAAGGGAAAAATGCTTTTCCCTCAGACAGAAGAAAAAATTAGTTGGTATCGAAACTGAGCCCTGAAAAAAAGACTTCCCTGGTGGCACAGTAGTTAAAAATCCGCCTGCCAGTGCAGGGGACATGGGTTTGATCCTTGGTCTGGGAAGATCTCACATGCGGCGGAGCAACTAAGCCCGTGCGCCACAACTACTGAGCCCGTGTGCCACAACTACTGAGCTCATGCGCCACAACTACTGAGCCTGCGCCCTAGAGCTCGCGAGCCACAACTACTAAGCCCATGCACCACAACTACTGAGCCTGCCCACCACAACTACTGAGCCCACGCACCACAACTATGGAGCCCGCAAGCCACAACTGCTGAAGCCCACGCGCACTAGAGCCTGCGTGCCGCAACTACTGAAGCCCGCAAGCCTAGAGCCCACGCTCCACAACAAGAGAAGCCACCGCAATGAGAAGCCCGTGCACCGCAATGAAGAGTAGCCCCCGCTCGCCGCGACTAGAGAAATCTCTCGCACAGCAACGAAGACCCAACACAGGCAAAAATAAATAAATAAGAGAATTACAGTATAGGTACGTGGAAAAGAAAAACGAGCATCTCAGAAGAGAGAGTCAGCGTGACCAAAGCTGAAGTGCTGGAGGGAGCACGGCCTGTGTGGGGCCGTCAGGCTTGGCTGACTTGTCAACAGACAGACTCAGGTAGAGCAAGAAAGCAAGCCGGAGAAGAAGGGACAGGCAAGACTAAAGAGGGCCTGGAACAGAAAGTTGGTTTATGCTCCACATCCAATACATTTTTGATATTTTTGTTACCATTTCAGAGGCAAAAAATTTAAAAATTAAAGCAATGACAACGAGGCTATTCAAAGGGAGAAGCAGCCTGACTCATCATAACTATAGTAGAAAATCAGGTAGGACAGTTCTGTCATGATAAACTTTACTCCCTTCCCTTTCACAGTACTATACACAATGTAATATGAAAACCTTCTAGTTACAGATAATGAATCCTGACATCTGCGTTTTTCTAACATATAAGTAACAGGAGCTGGAGGATGACCACACACATCAGTCTTTATCATGCATGACATGCAGGTCTGATGTAAACGAGGTCTATTCTTCACAGTTCATTTGAAGGAAAAAGCAACAGAAGAAATAAATATTATAAAAGGAAAAGCCACTACAAAGTCATTTAACAGAGAACTAGAGAGTAACGAACCTGTCCATGCTTAAACCAAAGACACAAACCTCTCTGGAATACAAAATTAGCACAACAAAGACCAATTACACATCAGTACTCGCCCAAACTATAAGTTTCACTTTCAGCTCCAAAAGAAAACACGAAAATGATTTTCTATAATGAACTATAAGATTTTGATGGGAACTTGATATGTTCTCATGTCTCTATTTTTTTCTGACAATCTATTATTGCCTTATCACCGTTTTTAGAGATTATAAAGTCTATTTTAAAGTTATCTACTTACGTATATATAATGTCGAGCATTACAACTTGTTTAAATATACAAATTAAAATACTATTTAGAAAGAAAAAACAAAATGTGTACAGAATATAACATGTACTAAATATTTCACACGACTGATACCAGCATTCTTTGCCTACTTTGCTCAGTTGTAACGAGGTTTCTCAGAATGTATATTGTGCAAAATAGTCAAGTCTGATCTATTTTTCCTGCTTTCATTAGAGGGGACAGTGACCTGGCTTCTAAACCGCCTGAAAGTTAAGCTGAAGAATAAAAGCAACATGGTTATTTTTAGAGCTCTACAGGCATAAAAATACAGCACTAAACTGTGACCTGCAGCTATGCACAGCAAAGCATCACATCATGCGACAGTCTTCACTTTAGCTGGCAGCGCATCTGTGGTGCTCAGACGACCTTTCTTCATTTCTTTATCAAAGATATGTCTAAATGCATTTAGGGCCAGAATCTGTAGCTGCCGGCATCTTTTTCAAATACACTGAGCTACATTCAAAAGGCAAACCATTATATAATTTGTAAAGATTAAATAGTAAGTTATTTTTGTCATTTCTTCTAGCTTACGTACAAGGTGAATTAATGAGCATTCTCTCCAAATGAAGACATCACAACCTCACTCCTAACACAGGTTAGTTATTTCAAATACAGTTCCAGTGGGTAAAGGAGGAGAATCATTCTCTGAACAGGGGGCACATCCAGGAGGAGGAGCTATGCCTGAGTGAAGCACAGCTTCATCACCAATTCAAGTAAACTCTTTGGCAACATCACCACGTCGGATCCATCAACTTCACAGGTAATCTTTAAACCTTTTCTGTACAAAACATAAGTCAAAAGTATGTTTGCAGATAGCACTTTCCTGTACGTTAATATTTTAAAGCCTCCTAAGAACTTTTAATAGCAAGTGTTAGTGGTATTTTCAGAAAATTGTTCAGTCTGTAGATTATCTGACTGCATTTCATTTCTCCTTAGCTACATAAAAGTATTTTCAAAGCCTGGTTTTTGGCACTGACCTAGTTAGAAATTAAGACTTTAATCCATTCTAATCTTATTTTGACCTGTATATCTAACCAGTGAAAAATTCATGCACTTTTCTGGCAAAGTTACTGTAAAGAAACAAATATTTGCTCATCAGAACCATAATATTTTATGCAAATAAACAAGTGAGAATATTTCCATAGGCTAAAAATGCCACTTTTTGGCTGGATGAAATGGCCAAAATACAATTCCTACAAATCCACACGCTACCCTGACTCAGAAGTAGTGACAAAGACTCTGCTTCGGGAATTAAAATGGCATCTAAAGGAACGAGAGAGATTAATACAAGAGATCGAAAATGAGCAAAAAGTGAAAAAAACAGGTGTGGATTACAATTGGCTGAGAGACGATCAGGATCCCCAGGCAACCATCCCAGCTACTGAACAAAGACAACTTGAAGTTCTTTGCTCACAGGTTCAAGCTTGTCAAACTGGAGCTGTTCTCAGCAGGTAAAAACACTACGTTCTCTTCCTGTGATATTTGCTGGCAAGTCTACGCTCCTCATACCTTTAGACTGGAAATCGTACTATATCATATAAATTTTTTAATCATGTGTATCAACTACCCAGCAACCAAAATCCCTAAGGATGGGCTGGACAAAAAAAAAAACACTGTTGATATCTCACTGGCTAGGAAATGTTTTAAAGTCTCTTTTGAAATTTCTTTACTACGAGTATAATTTTAAAGCAATGTGCAGTTTACTCAAAAGGTGGGTAACTACTATATGGTTACATTATCTAAGCTGAATTTTGGAGACAAAGGGATACAACAAAAGAGATTTTCTGAATTGAATACTGATAACTGCTTTGCCTCTAGATTTCGAGAAGTTCTGGCAGAAAATGATGTACTGCCATGGGAAATTGTCTACATCTTCAAGCAAGTTCTGAAGGACTTCTTAAGTAGTACTGACAAAGGCAGTCAGCAAGAGGGCCTGGAAGAGTCACAGAGAGCAGCCTGTCCTGTTCGCTCCGTGATCCCAGGAGAAAGCTCCAACAGTCCAGACAAGGATGAAATACCCACTATTTCAAGTTATGTAGACAAAAACACAAAGAACAGGTTCCCAACATTCTCACATAGGATATGGAACCTACCATATTATTACCCATCAAGTTAAATTACTTGTAAACAGAGGAGTTTTTGACAGTCTTAGTATCAGAACCCTTAATATTAAGGAAAAGAGAAAGTGATGTGACTTAATGCTACTCTTTGTTACAAGATCATAAGTTAAAATTCCTGTCGATGTAGCCTATGTTTTAAATAGTGTTCCTTTTTTAACCACTCTAAAAATGCAATGTTTTCATTGAACAGTATGCTTTTAACTAAAATGTTTCCTAAATATTTTCAAAATATGTTTGAAGTATTTTCTTATACCTCAAACACATCCCAACAGGAACTAAGGCATTTTATTTTGAAATGTGAAATATGAAATTTGTATGAAAGCACCAAGTATGAAATTCGATAAATTAACTTTGACATTAACCTTGCTTTTATTCTAAAAAGAACTATGTACAGAATAAAATAAATGATTGATGTGAATCTTATCTTTACAATATAACACTGAATCAGTCATTCTCTGTGGGGGAGGGGGAAGACGGCAGTGAGGGAAAAAATAATGTGCAGTTTGAAAACAAAGCAACACTTCATCCCAACACTGAGATTCGTTTTTAATTTCAACCAGCATTAAGGGAAAGTATTAAAAAACAGCTCTATATTACATGAGCAAAAAAGAAATGGACTAGTTTAACAACATTAGTAACAGCTACTCAAAGAAAAACAGTCAATGCCAATCTATAATTTAAACCAATATTATGTTCATTTAAAATAGCAAAATATTTAACATATAAAATTCAACCTCTCAGAATTTCATTAAAGTAGGGAACTATTCATTAGTCAGATTTATTTCTATGATTAAGTGCTAGAATCTATACCATTCTTAAAAGTAAATCCAAGGAAACTAATGTCCATAACTTTATATTTGGAAGATTTATTCGAGTGAGTTTTTTTCCATTAAAAAGAAAAAAAAGGGGCTTCCCTGGTGGTGCAGTGGTTGAGAGTCCCATGCCGATGCAGGGGACACGGGTTCATGCCCCGGTCCGGGAAGATCCCACATGCCACGGAGCGGCTGGGCCCGTGAGCCATGGCCGCTGAGCCTGCATGTCCGGGGCCTGTGCTCCGCAATGGGAGAGGCCACAACAGGGAGAGGCCCACACACCGAAGAAGAAAAAATAAAATAAAATAAAATAAAGGGGGTGCAGATGGGGGAGAGGACTATTAGGAAAGCTTCAGGTATGTTTTACAAAGATAAAGTACTGGCACAGTAGCTAAAAGTTTTAAGTAGGGACTAGCAAGGAATAAATACACTAACCCACGTAAAAGGATTCTGATAACCTGACATATAGTAAGCTCTGAAAAGGTGGCATTATTAACCAGCGGAATCCATTTAATAACATGAAAGTCATTCTGCTACATGCCAGGCACTGTGCTAAGCACTGTATGTATGTACAGCTCATTTAACCCTAAACTTGAAAGTAGGTGATGTTATTCCCATCTGACAGATGAGCAAACAGCCTCACACCTGTTCGATGCCTTTGCCCAATACCACAAGAGATACTCAATGGCAGGGCTAGGATTCACATCAGCCTGGCAAGCCCCTACACCACCTCCAGCCCCAACTTACGTCTGAGCTCCAAATGCATACAGGCAATTGCCTACTTGACACCTCCTCTTGGAGACCTACAGGCAACTTAAATCAACATGCTCAAAACCAAATCATAGAGGTTTGTTTCCTAAAAGGATAAATAAAATTCAAGAAAGGAATAGAGGAATCAAAGCAACACACTTTACACAAACTAAAAGCATAACTCTTCTAACACCTCAACTAGTGTTTTCCAGTCATTTCTCAGGAAACGACAACCCTACCTATCCATCCAATTCTACAAGCCAGAAATCTCAGAATCATTCTGGCCCCCTCACAATGGTGGAGGACCCAAAAACACATCACAAACAAACAAGACTTGGGGCAAGTGATAAGTGCTTTAGAGGAGGAGAAAAAGTTGACAAAGACTAGAGAGACTGCCAAAGAAGGTGGGGGAGGACTTCTGTAGCTATGGAGGTCACAGGAGACTTCTTGAAGGAGCAGAGCCCCAAATGATGAAAGGAGCCTGTCATGGGAAGAAACAGGGCAGGAATGGAAGAGGGAAGGCACTCCAGGCAGAGGACAGACAGGTGTGGAAGCCCCAGTGTGGAAAGGAGTGTGATGTCTTAAGGACACAGAAAAATTCCAATGTGTCCAGAATGCAGTGAAAGACAGTAGGAGGTGAGTCAGGTGCCAGATGGAGGAACACTCGGTAAGCCACGATCAGAGTCTACATCTTGTTCTAACAGCCATCTACCCCACAGAAAGTCGCACATGTGCTCCTCAAACCTTACGTGTGAATGTTTACTCAAGGATTCCTTCACTCAGGGCTTCCCTGGTGGCGCAGTGGTTGACAGTCTGCCTGCCGATGCGGGTGATGCAGGTTCATGCCCCGGTCCGGGAGGATCCCACATGCCACGGAGCCTGCGCGTCTGGAGCCTGTGCTCCGTAATGGGAGAGGCCGCAGCAGTGAGAGGCCCGCGTACCGCAAAGAAAAACAAGGATTCCTTCATTCAACTAATATCAACTGGGCATCTACCTCACGCCAGGTATTCTTCTAGGTGCTAGAATACATTATTGGGGGCAAAGATAGGAAGCCAGGAGACCAAAAATAGAAGGCTTTTGTAATAATCCAGGAAAGAGATGATGGTGGTTTACTTAGACCAGGATGGTGATCGTATATACAGTAAGACACTCTTATTCTAGAAATACTTTACGGTACAGTTGCCAGGATATGCTGATTTTTATTGGACTGATTGTATACATACACACACACACACACACACACACACACACACACACTCATGCACGCACACCCCTACCTTAGGGAAATCAGCTCTGGTCAGAGGAATAACTCAAGTTTTCAGGATTCATTCAAGGTAGGAGCAAATGAGGAAGCAACTCTCATCATTTCTAGAATAAGGACCCAGCACATTGTAAGCAATCAATAATTGGGACCTACGAAGGCAGTTCATTCATCCAAACAGACATCTGAGTTCCTACTATATGCCAGGTACTGTGCTAAGAGGTGGAGATTCAGTGAAAATCTGCACCCTCAAGAAGTTCTTATGTGGGGAAAACAACACATAAAATAATTCCTTGGGACTTCCCTGGTGGCACAGCAGTTAAGAATCCGCCCACCAGTGCAGGGGACACAGGTTCAAGCCCTGGTCCAGGAAGATCCCACATGCTGCGGAGCACCTAAGCCCATGTGCCACAACTACTGAGCCCGTGCACCACAACTAGAAGCCTGCACACCTAGAGCCTGTGCTCCACAACAAGAAGCAATGAGAAGCCCGCGCACCGCAATGGACAGCCCCCACTCGCCACAACTAGAGGAAGCCCACGTGCAGCAACGAAGACCCAACGCAGCCAAAAAATAAAAAATATAAATAAATAAATAAAATAAATAAATAAATAATTCCTTCAAAGTACGAAGAGATGCACATACAGGGACTAAGCAAGCAGTTGTTTAAAACAGGCTTGCTCGCTTGGTTTTCCTCGGACCCTGCTAGTGGTTCCTTCTCGGTCTCCTTTGCACATTTTTTCTCACCAACCTCTAAATGTTCAGGTGCTCCAGGCTTGGGTCCTTAGACCTCCCCTCTCTCTGCACTCACCCACCAGGCTCCATCACCCAGAGCCTGGGTGGTCTCATCTCATTGGCCTCAAAGCCTTAAACTCCCAAACATCTAGCTCCACAACCAGACTTCTTTCCTCGATTCATGCACTTACTGTTATCTAACAGGATTTTCAGAGTTAACATGTTCCAAATCAAACACCTCGTATTCCCCCAAAACCAGTTCTTCCTGCGGTCTGGCCTTTCTCAGTGGATGGCAACACCTTCCAAATGCTCAGCCGGAAACCTTGGTGTCACCCATGACTGCTTCCCCATTCCTATTCTATACCTGATCCAGCTACAAAGTTCCCGCCTCTTAGTAATAGACCCTGAATTCCACCATCGCTTACCACCTCCACTGCTACTGTCCTGGTCTAAACCATCGTCCTCTCTCTTGCTTGGATGATGTATTAGTGAGGATTCTCCAAAGAAACAGAACCAACAGGACATCTGTATATATACAGATTAGTTCTAAGGTATTAGCTTACACAATTGTAGAGGTGCAAGTCCCAAATCTGCTGGAGACCCAGGCCAATTGCAGTCTGAGTCTAAAGGGAGTTTGCTGGCAGAATTCCTTCTTGCTCAGGGGAGATCAGTCTTTGTTCTATTCAGGCCATAAACTGATTGCATGAGGCTCACCCACATTATGGAGGTTAACCTGCTTTACTCAAAATCCGCCTATTTAAATGTTAATTCTATCCAAAAAATATCTTCAAAGACCCAGAGTAATGTTTGACCAAATATCTGGGCACCACGGTGCAACCAAGTTTACACATAAAGTTGATTCTTGACCTCCCTGTTTCTGCCCTGGGCCCCCTTCATCATTCAACTGGCAGTGACCCTGTTAGAGTGGAGACCACACGCGGCAGCTATGCCCAAAATCTCCAAGCGCCCTCCAGTGGGCTCCCCGACGTCAAAGATGAAGCAGCAGGCTGCTCACTGAGACTGAGCAAGGAACTCTTGACATGGCACCCTGCTGCCTCTCTGACTTCATGTCCTCCCTCCCTCTCAGTCCCTCTACTCCAGCTGCACGTGGTAGATACAGAATAGACACTCAAATAGTTTTTCAATTAATGGGAAAATTACCTAATAGACTAAATCTGTTAAACAGACAAAGGTTTTTAAAAAACATGGAATTTTGTGGGTGAACAGAAAACAGAACTCCTTGGAGGGTAACACAAGCAAATAGTACCATCTAGGGAAGGCCTAAATACTGAAAGACAAGGCAAAAAGGAAAAAGTCACATGCTTTGGAGTCAAATACACCCATTGTACAACATAACAGATACATGGGCTGGGATAAGTTTCTCAACTTACCTGATCCTTGACTTCCTCAGCTGTAAGATGGGACTTGCCTCGTCTGT